TTGTTTATTATTAGTTTATTTTAAGAGTCCAGAATTTTCTTTTTGATTTTAAGTTTTGTACTCAAAAAATACCAATTCTATGTTTACTAGCTTTTCAAAAGATAAAATAATAATAAATAAATAAATAAGGGTATTTAGATTTTTTTTAATGATTAAATGATATTTAAATATATTTTGACTAAAAAATATATAATTAAATGAATCAACCTGAACAAGCTTATTGGTAATAATCTGATCATGGTCTAGTCTGATTTTAGATACAACATGATCATCAATCAAATCCAAGATATGCAATGCAAACTATAAACCATATTTGATAATTGCCAAGATTTTAATTACTTGTTTGTGTAATACCCGGGTCTAAAATTTAGTCCAAGATTAATTTTAAAAATTAAATTAATATATAAAAAATATAAATTTTAAATTTGTAAATTTTTATTTATTACAAAATTAAGAAAAAGATAGGTGGAGGATGAAACTAAAAATAATTTTGGAAAAAAAAATATAAAAATTTGGGTTCGGGTTGTGTTTTTGAAAGAAAAATAAAAAATTTGGGGTCAAAATATAATTTAGAAAAAATGTGTCACCTAGAACTGCCCAGTCAGAAGCCTCGATGAACTGGAGCGCACCGTATGGCAAAGTACACTGACTCGGTGCCCCGCGAGAGGCCACACTGGTAATCTGCGTGCCTGCGATCGGACGGTTCGGATTTGTTCCCGCGTGTGTGGACAGTACAGACCTGTTCCCTCCTCATGCACGATCAGACGGTTATGATTAAACATGATGAATAGCCCAGAGTCGTTCCCTCTTTACATATAATCGTACGGTCTGGATTAAATCGTGATGAACGGTCCATATTTATTTCTTCTTTAAACGCGATCGGACGATCGAGATCAAACGGGATGAACAGACTAGATTAAAGGGAGACGAGTATAAATATCTCACTTCACACCGAACCCTAACCTCAGCCGCAAGCCCCCCACCGGAAAAGAAGAACTAGTCCCCGGAGAAAGGAGTCGACCGCCGCCCATCACCGTACTAGAGCCACCTCCGACCACGAAAAAAATGTAAAACTTTTCTCATTCGCTCAAAATTTTAGTTTGAACACCCCCATGGCCAAACCAGAGCAAATGGACAGGTGAAAGAGCCAAAAATCATATGTAAAATCCGACGGTGCCGCTGCAGAAAAAACAAAAAATCGCCTCCGATGATCCCCTTTCCGATTCCCGTTTCGTGCGATTTTTCCACCATTGTATTCACCATTCTGTTTTCTACAAATTAACCGAAGAAAACTGCCCAACCACAAAGGTGAGCCGACAGAGCCCCCGTATCAAAAAATTTCGCCGCTGATA